TGTACTCTTAGCTTGCAGCAAATGATGGCTTACACTTTAATTCCCTCCAATCAGTGTTTACATGCACAAGACAATTACATTGCTGTGGCATTCACTTACTATGCAGTCCCCATTTATCCCCAATAAATTTGTGTACTCACATACCCACCAAACCCAAGGCAGTGGCTTGGCTATGCAGTCCCCACCCCAAGTGGTAGATGTGTGACTACACAAATTCACTGTGGTAAATGAGCCTGCATAGTAAGTGAATGCCAAGGCACCTGATCCCTGACCAGATCCAGAGGTAGATCTGGAAGGTGTGCAGTGGTACAAATGTACCCCACTTTCATTTGATACCATAGGAGCAGCAGTTGGGACTTTTTAAGTTCCCGAAGGAAGTAAGATTCCACTCCCCACTGCTCCTTGACATGTTCTGTCCCTCCCATTCCCCTTCTTCCGTGCCCATCACTGCTGCTGGTCCTGCTGACCCTGGGGTAGGAACCCCCTGCGCCCTTGGAGGCGCATTCCCAGGCTCCAATCGTCCCACCACCCAGCCGGGCTGGGGCCCCACTTACCTTCCCCTGCTCCTGGCTGGGCCACATGGTCAGCTGTTCACTGTGGGGGCCTCGATCTGGCCCCTGCCCCTTCCCTCCCTGACAAACTGACCTGCTGGGGCTGAGGGCGGCGGGTGTGTGCATGTGCACATGCACAGCTGTCCCCCCAGCCCAGGATCTATCTACTAAAAGAGGCTCTAGGATCTACCTATAGATCGGGATCCCCAGGTTGGTGACCACTGTGGTAAGAGATGCACCTAGTTATCACAGAATAGTTGCTGCCCTGTAAGTTCACACAATAAATTGAGCTAAATTATTTGGCAGTTTACCTCATGCTGGCTTGTTCATGTGGCCTTAGCTTTTCTTGCACAGATTTCAGTTAGGGAACTAAAGCTTTAATGGGGCTGTTCCCACGGGCAAAGTTAAACATCTGCATTTACAAGATTGTTGACCAAGTCTGTATGGCAAAGCCTGAACTCTGATTAAACTCATAAATGAAGCAGTGGGCCAAAACAGGGGAAATCTATATTATTTTTGCTGTTATTTTTTGTGCAAATACATCTAAGGTTTCTATATTCCAAAAGGGAAGAAATGGGAGCATTTGGGTTCAGCCTTATGTATCCCGCTCTTGCCACTGAGACAACAATGAAGGGGATGGAATATCCACCTTATTCTTAGTGTTTTGGATCGGGGCCACTATGCGAGTCCTACATTACTCTGCAAGTAACTATTATGTGAGTTTTACAGACTGGAAAGGTTTTCTGGATAAGGGAGATCTTTAGGGCCATGACGTCTTGCTATGATGTCCCTTTGCACTCTGCAAGTAGTATAAAGCTCTTGCTGTAACAGAAAAATCAAGCTAATTTTATTTTTGGAGGGATTTACATCTTTTTGGAAGGTTCACATTTCTGGAGAGAGACAATGTTTCTGAGATTTCCGCGATGGACTTTCTTATGTGATTAAACAAGATTACATGGCTTTGGAAAGGTCTGAATTTAATTTTTAGTTATGATTTCTGGGATGGCAGGACCACTTTACATCTACCCTTCCTTTCTCATCTTTTTCTATCCTCTGTTCTCTTTCTATCATTCTCCCCCTCTTCCAGGATGTCCTTCTTTCCGCTGCAGAAACTTCAGATTACTCCCAAATAGATCAAATTGCCACCAATTGTAATTTAATCTACTGTGGTCGTAATCAATTAAACTGTTAAAACATTTAAGGTGCAGTTATTCCTATATTTTAGTAATTATCGATTAAGGATTGTTAGCTTACATTTCTATGCAGTTGTAGTGGCAAAGTGATGAAGGTATCTTGTTAGAACTCCCAAGGTGTGTGTACCATTAACTATGCCAGCCTGATGATGAGCTTTCTTGTTGTCTCAGGTAAATGCCATGACTGAAGATTTCAGCAGCATCCAAGGTTTTCAACTGTGCTTTGCATCCCTGTGTATGGAACTCTGCAGAGAAGGACAGTTCTCCAACCCCACAAGACAAAACATAATAGAGGGATGAGTAAGTAAGTGGCTGAATTGAGAGCAGAGGAAGAAGAATACGGTTTCTTTGTCTTTCCACTTTCAAAACATTTCTTCCCCTGCAGCTGTCTGCCAAAGGGAATGGCCGGTCTAAAAAAAGAAAGGGAGCTGCCAGCTCACAGCATGTTCACCTCAGACCCCCCTGCCTTTTAATTTCCTTATTCTTCTCAATTGTCTTTTGTGCTCTCCCATTCTCTGGAAAAGAAACAGTGCTTCCGAAGCCACTCCCTGCTTTCAGGTGGACTTTCCTCTAGCCACCCTGTTTTGTGTAGTAACAATGTCACTTCTTGGCCTTTCAGCTATGATCAAGCATGACTGGGGGCATCTAAACTCCCTGTCTTCCAGGCCTGGGACATGTATGTAAGATGCCTGCCTGGATATGGGGAGTATCTGAACTCCCAGGGCCTGGTAGGGAAGATACCAGCCTGCTTGTAGTTTTATGGCCCATGGATCGAGAGTCAAGAGCAATGGTTACAAACTGCTAGAAGAAGGTTTCATACTGGATATAAGAAAAAAATTTCTTCACAGTTTGTGAGACCAGACTCTGGAATAGACTCCCAGCGGGGGTGGTGCAGGCATCTACCTTGGAAATCTCCAAAAGGAAACTGGACACACACCTTGCTGGGATTATTTGACCCCCGCAGTCTTTCCTGCCCAGAGCAGGGGGGCTGGACCTGATGATCTCACGAGATTCCTTCCAGCCCTAAACTTCTGTGAATCTGTAAATTAGTACTTGGATGAATTTATTATTACAGATTTCCCTCACTTTATGCAGGTTCTGTATGTGCAAATTCACTCTTATACCCTTTTTATACCAAAAATTCGTTATATGCGAGATAAATTCACTCTTACACGATCAGTGTGGTGGAAGCCCACAGTCACTTGCTTTGTGCGGTGCATTGTGGGAGTGATGCGCACCAAAATATAGTCTGTTGTATGCATCTGTGCTCCTCGCTCGTTGTCTGTGACACGTTTCTGTAGTTGCCATCCCCATTATGATAGTGCCCTGTGCTTGTGTGCACTGTCTGCTGTTGGTGAGTACCAAAATTGTCTTGTAGAAGTGGTAGAAATGTGTCTGGGGCTCAGTACAGTCAAGGTCTTGGAACATATCCCTATTTGTTATGTTGTAAAGTGGGTTCCCTTTATGCAAATTCGAGTTACGCACCATTTTCCAGAACACACAAGTATAGCATAAAGAGAGGGAAACCTGTATTAGTAATAATAATATAAAACATCATTTCATCCACATGAAACTAATCTCCAAATTCAATTGAGCAAATTCAATAATAATAATAAGCATTTTAATAATAACAGTACTAATGAATATCACCATTCATTTCAAACAGCAATAACAATAATAAAACCATCGCCGGCCAGCTCTCACTTCTCCTCAGCATTCAAGATCTAGAAAAAGGTAGAATTTTTTTTTTTTGTTGGGGGAGGGGAATACATAGATAGATATAGAAATATAGCTCTCTCTCTCTGTATATATAGAGCTACATATATAGTTATCTATATAGAGATATATCTATATATACAGAGAGGCAGAGAGAGAGATATCTATCTGTAATATCTCTCTATATAGAGATATCTCTAGTAACTGGCACTTTTTAGTAGCTTTCTTATGCTGCATAGTACTGTATAGCTATTTCTACATAGAGAGATATCTATATAGAGACATTTATCTATAGATATATAGCTCTCTATCTAGATCTAGATAAAAAAAATATTTTATATATACATATATTTTTTACTTATATGAGTTGAAATATAAATATATATATTTTCGTTCAACTCATATATATATACAGTATATATATACACACACTGTATTTATATATATATATATATATAT